CCGAATGTTCATAACATTGAACCGATTTTTTTACCAAACAAATTGAATTGAAAATAATTCTAATAAAAAATTGAAATAATTTGTTAATGTTTATGCAACTGTCTCATTCCTAAAGAAAATGATATGAACTTAACCAAAAAAAAAAAAAAAAATGATATGAACTTACCAAAATTTCGGTAAAACATGGTTAAGAAAAAAGATAAGAATCCAAAAAAATCGATGGCATTTAAATTTCGATAAGTTGCACACAATTCTCTTGGCATAGTGCTAATAATGGACTAGATCAAAATGACTCAATTAAATTCTAGTGCTTCTTCTATTAGTGAAGTTTATAGAAAAAAGATATATCAAACGATGCAACGCACCTTGGGTCGCTATGGAAACAGCCTCCTTGTATAATTACAAGGGTAAGGTCTGCGTACAACTGACCCCCCAGACCCCAACATGTTGGGAATATACTGGGTATGTTGATGTTGATGAAGTTGCACACAATTTTTCCTAAATAATTAGATAAGGTGACTTTAAATATTAAAGACGAACCGCTTTTGTTACCAAAAAATGTGGACACAATTTTGAATGTACATCCCATCCAAATATCAATTTTATTTTAAAATAAAAATTGCACATGATTTTATCTAATTTACAATTTTTTTGAAAGAAAAAAATGTTCAATAAGAGTGGAAAAATCGGTTAAGAATTATACAACTATTTATCTCCAAAATTGTATCCAATTTGCACGGATTTTAAATTAATTTGTATTTAGAATTGTTTCCATAAATAACTGACACATTTTTTTTTTATAAGAATCTCCAAATTTGTTACCAAAAAAGATATGATTTAAACTTGGTAAAAAAAAAATAAAATATGATAAAAAAAATGGGACTCAAATTTTGCCATAATAATCTCCAAATTTGTCACAAAAAAAAAGAACTCAAATTTTGTTACTAAAAATTCACGTGTTTTTTCGAACTTTTCATTAATAGTAAGTCATACATTATATTTATTTGGTAAACGTTCTATTTTTTGTATTTTCCCAACAACCTCTTTATATAGAATATAAATATAGATATAGATACATAAAAAGTAAAACTACTGCTCCACGTTTTTGTTCTATTTCTTCCAAATTTTTTGTTTTCTTTTATACATCCAACATAGTTCAAGCTACTTTAGTACACGACCATGTTCCCTTAGTTGAGTGCATTGGGTGGAGTTGTATCCGAATTGAAATCAACATTTTGGAAATTTAACAGATAGAAATACCAATTATATATTAACTATATGATATTGAAATTACTTTTCAAAAATAACTGGAAATCAATTGTAATCAAGTTGCACGTCAGGGGACAAATTCATAAGGATCAACTAATATATCAAACAATATCATTAGACAAAACCTAGTGAAACTAGCTTCCGACATAGCAAGATTTCAGATAATCTTCTAATGACAAAATTTCTGGTGTTTCCATGGTCAAGCCACAATCTAAGGTTTGACATTATCTTCGAACAGAACTATGATCGACTTCTTAGATTGAGAACAGAAACAAAAATCATATTCTCGTACCTACGGTATCTCTCTCGTCTAAAACACAATAGTAAGCTCCTTCTCATTCATTTCGTATACATGATCGCTTGCGTCTGTAATTGCACTCTGCATGTTTTTCAGATCTTAGATTAGTTATTATTGCTACGATGGCAATAGAAAAGTTCAAAAGGAAAAAATAAAAAATAAAAAATTGGGAACCGGATAACCTGTCCCAATTTGGTAAGGAAGTTGTTCATAAGATTTAACGATGTCAGCCGAATGTCTTCATTAGCCTTGAGCGCTTGAGCAATTGCAAAAGCCCCTTCATCCTGCAAGATAAAAAGGTATAAGAGATACGATATGATTACATAAGAAGCTAATTGCATGGTGTTAACAATTTTATCATAAAATATATGTTTTTCGCATACCCTTATTTCATTGAACCCAAGATTGAGTGATGTCAAAGCCTCATTGACCACTTTCAAGCTACGAGCAAGGCAGATGGCACCCTGCCAAGAGATTCGTATGAGGGAGAACGAGAAAATCATAAATATGGGGAAAGTGGAGGACTAGAATGCAAATAAGACAAACCTCATCTCTTAGTCCATTCGCTCTCAGATCAAGGTTTGATATCGTGTTGTTGTACTTCAACATATCTGCTATATATTCAGTACCAGTGGCTCCGATCTGCAAAAATTGCACGTGGCATTCAAAAGAAGCCATTTTTGTGAAAGGACAATAATTTATTTACCAGTTAAATACAGATGTTGCCCGTGAGGCATCGGTTGATTACAAATGAACCCAACTATAAGCAAAAAATAATACATGCTTCGTAATTACAAACATCAATGGATGCATTCGTGATATTGAAATACATTTTTATTCTTTATGGTAATTAGGCTAATCAATAGAGTAGTTTTGTAATTAATTCCCCATTTGCAACCTTACCTGACACCAACCAAGCATGAGACCCTTTACGTTCCCATGAAATTTAAGAACCTCCGCCAAAGCCTTCGCACCATCAGGCCCAATGGGATTATAACCAATTTCTAACTGGGGAAGAGGAATGAAGAAAGAAAAATAGAGATTCATAGTTTGAATATATCACAAAAATCTATAACATTCAGAGAAACAACATGAGAGCACGAACAGCAGTAATGACAGAATTATCTTTCAGAACTCGTGCAATTTCACTGATCCCTTTGGCATGAATGTCATTCCCTCCCTGCAAATAACTTCTGTGTTACTTACGAATCACAATATAGTTAATAACTTTAAGAATCAACAATATCCTGATTATGACTTCTTAAGCTCCTTACGAGATCAACATGTGTTACAGAGCGATTCTGCTTCAAGGCCTCTGCTATGCTTTCAGCTCCCTGCGATAAATATAAAATAACTGAGAGACTGGTGTATGTTGTTATTTTGGCAAGACGTCATCAATTCTTGATTAATATGCCTAAAAGAATTAGGTGCCGAATGCAAAGGAGGTCAACAAGGCTATTTTCGTTATAGTCTTAAGATCCCGAAAAGTACACCTCCCAGGTGTAGGAAATAGACCCATTTTTGTTTTGGGGGTTGATACCACCCGAAAAGATCTCACATCCAGTACACTATTGTGAAAGGTCAAAAATTCAATAGGTATAAAGGGTCTAAAATCTTGAGATGCCCGGGTAAACCACACACATTGGGTCTTATAGTAGTATTCTCTACTCCTAGAAGTAAGAAAAACTTGCAAACTTATAGACAACTATTTTTTGCGAATTTGGATCTAAAATGATATTGTGTGACACACGCGTCTGGAAATAGTCTAAGATAATAAATTCAAATTATACCTCATCTCGAATATCATTCATGTATAGGTTAAGCCACAATAAGCTCTTGCTATTTTTAATGTACTCAGCAACATGAGAAGCTCCTTTTGCACTGATCGAATTGTTTGCAAGATCCAAGGTTCTTAGCTTTCCTACATGCAAGGGTGAATTGTCAAGATCTGATTTATGCTGGGAAAAAAAGAGAGAGAGGGAGCGAGAGAGAGAGAGAGAGAGAGAGAGAGAGAGAGAGAGAGAGAGAGAGAGAGAGAGAAGTAAAAAAAAAAACAAGTTGCACACGAGGAGAGAATAAACCTTTACGAGAAGACAAGCTAGACATCAGAGCACGAATTCCCTCATCTCCAATCGAGTTTCCTTGCAGACACAGTTCCTATATAGATTATGTTTATACACTTGAATTCAAACATGACTAGAAATATCAAATTCAAAAGGCATAATGCTGCTTCAGATATAAAGTGACCACACTACAGAGTTATCATTGTATTTAATTTTTCTGTTAGTGAGTACAAGAGTCCTCCCCTTCCTACTATAGCAATGAAAAGTACCTTAAAAATAATTTTTCCATGGACCACATATATAAGAATGTAGCATAGGGAGAACAAATACTTTTTATCATTGCTTAAACATTTCCATTACTAATAAATCACACATAGCTAGGCGCACCATGTAATGATATTATTGGAAACCAAGTACGTAAATAATACAGAGGGGAACAGTCAGTAATTACCCTCAAGGACCTGTTTTTTTCCAATCCTTTTGCCAAAGCAGCTGCCCCAAGGGGACCACCATAATTGCCACTGTAATAACAAGAGGGGATGGTATGTAACAAAGCCAACAAGCTAATTATTCAAAAAAAAAAAAAAAAAAAAA